TTATTTATTTTTGAGAGACGAGTGTGAGCAGGGAAGGGGCAGAGAGGGAGACACGGAATCTGAAGCAGGCTCCAGGCTCCAAGCTGTCAGCACAGAGCCTGACATGGGGCTTGAACTCAAGAACTGGGAGATCATGACCTGAGCCAAAGCCAGACGTTTAACCAACTGAGCCATCCAGGCACCCCCACCCCCTTTATTTTAATTAAAAAAAAATTTTTTTTATGAGAGAGAGAGAGTGAGAGAGTGCAAGCGGGGGAAAGGGGCAAAGAGAGAAAGAATCTTATTAAGCAGGCTCCACATTCAACACAGAGCCCAACACGGGGCTCGATCCCACGACCCCGGGGCCATGACCTGAGCAGAAATCAAGAGTCGGACACTCAACCGACTGAGCCACCCAAGCGCCCTTCCAATTTGCTTTTTTAACTTAACAGTGGGTCTTAGAGATCTCTTCACATCAGTACACAGAGAATGCATTCTTCTGAACCAGCACACATATTCCATCCTAAAAGATGTACACCATAAATTACTTATCCATTTCTCTCCTGGTGAACACTTAGGATATTGTCAGTTTCTTTTCCCATTATTAAAGGGCTATAATAGTTAAGCTTTTATTTTTATGATTTACCATGCAGGCACCATTGCTAGTGCTTACCTCATGTAACTCTCTCAAAACACCTATGAGGTACGTGATATTTTTATCCTTATTTTATAGGCTAGGAATCTCAGATGCAGAATTACAAAGGTGATGATTAGCAAAGATTGGAGCCAGGATTCAAATCCCAGTAGTTTGACTCATGGGGCCCTGCCGCCTCTATGCTCTGCTGCCTTCCAGACATGCTCTTACATTTGTGTGCATGCCTGGGTTTCTGTAGGACAGCGTCCTAGACCATGGGATTGCGGGGTGGGGGGGGGGTGGCATCAGATATATTTGCATTTCACATTTTCATAATTGCTGCTAAATTGCACTCCATAAAGATTATACCAGTTTTCACTGCCGGAGTGAGGATTCTCATTCTCCGCTTCCTTACCAACATTGGATGTCATCAGTTTTTAATCTTTACCAACCTGTTAGGAAAATGGGATCTCATTCTGTTTTTAAAAACAGCTCTAATGAAGTATAATTGACGTTAATGAAGTGCACATACGTAAGGCGTACAGTTGATCAGTTTTGACATATATGTACATCTGTGAGACCATTACCACAATTAGAGAGCGAACGTATTCATCACTTCTTAAATTTGCTGGTGCTCCTTTGTAATTCGTCCCTCCCCACACCTCAGTCCCCAGGTAACTACTGATCTGCTTTCTGTCACTAAATACTAGTTTGCATTTTAGAATTTCATAGAAAGGGAGTCATATGGGATACATTGTTTTTGCCTGACTTCTTTCACCCAGCATAATTATTTTGAGATTCATTGATAATTGTGGGGTGGATCAGTGGTTGGCTTCTTTGTATTGTTGAGGAGTATTGCATTGTGGATACAGGTAAACCACATTTTGTTGATTCATTTGTCTCTTGACGGGCATTTGGGTTGCTTCCAGTTTGGGCCTTTTACAGATTGTACTTTTTTCTTGAATGTAGTCTTCGGTTAGCTTTGAGACCCATTATCTTATCTCAGGGGGTCGGGGTATGGTACTATTTTCCGCATTTGACAGGAGAGGAAATGGAAGCCCAGATGCTTACCCAAGAACACACATCAAGTTCAGGTCAGAACTTGGGGCTTCTAATCTGAGACCACTCTGCCATTCTGGTTCCTCTGGCACAGGAAGCACAATGTAGGAAAGGCAATTCTTGTGTAGTGGTTAAGAGCACAAATTGTGGAAAATGACTCCCCAGGTTCAAATCCCAGCTGGCTAGGAGACAATGAGCAACCTCTTTGACTCTTTTCATTGATTTATTGACTTTCTTCATCAATAAATAAGGGTAGTAACATAGAAGCCCACTGTGTTCAGTTACTTTGAGGATGAAACGCATGAGTACTTGTAAGGTCTTAGTATCTTCCAGTAGGAGGTACTGAAGGGTTGTCTGTTGTTATTACTCGTTCATGAGGTAGTAATGGAGACCTACTGTTTCCTCTCACTCAGGCTGCATAACCCTCACCCTCCAGAATCGGTCACTACTGCAGAGACTTCTAGGGAGGCAGGGAACAACTTTCAGGCTTTGTCCCTACAGAGAGCAGGGAGGCGAAGGGGAAATGCCAGGATCCAGAGTAAAAGGGAGGTGAAGTGCCATTGCTCAGGGACTGGGGTGAGCATGGCTGGCGGGGAGAGGGCACTGCCCATGTGTTTCAGGCCAGCTTTGGGTGACCCTAGCCAGCCTGCGCCTGCCAGGGCCTGTGCTTACCAGTACCAAAGGGCATTGTCTGCAAAAACGCAAGGTCCCCCTGCACCCATCGCAGGCTTTGCTAGGATGACCGAGTTAGAATTGCCCGGGCCAGGAGCTATTATTAGAAAGCAAATGCAGCTTTAATCGTCGTTCCCTTAGTAGAGGCTGAAAAATGGGAGGACCACGTGGCTCCAGACTGGTTGGGGAGCTCACAGTTTTCTCGACGTGGTAGCGTCACTTGTGGCCCTCCCATTCCAGAGGCATCCAAGACGGTGTTGGCATGTAGTGCCCGGGGCAACTCCCAGTTAACTCAGGGGGGAGTCGCCAGGCATTCGGGGATCCTCCTCAGGCTTCTCCTCCCTCAGCGCGGTCTTTTCACCACCTGGTACCACCTGCCCAGCCGCTGGGCACCAGGCAGGGGCAGGGAAGTGTTGCTGCCAACCTTTGGAGTCTGGGTTCTCCAGGCGGCCCTGGTGAAAGGTTAGAGGGCAATAAGGCCTCTGTGGAGAAATGTGTCTGGAAACTCTCCGTTTCTGAGCACCAGGCAAAATGAGAGGTGCTACCCATAACACCCTTCGTGGGGGTATCATTTCTGTTTTACAGAGGAGGAAGCCAATCTCAGAGAGTTTAAATAATGTACCTGAGGTTACACAGTGTAAGTCAAGGAGCTAGATCTGTCTGACTCTAAATTCTATTTTCCCTCCATTATTCCCTGGCTTCCAAGCTTGTTTTTGGTTTTTGGTTTTGCGTTTTGTGTTTCTGTGTTTTTTTGGCAGTGGGAGCCTTTGTTCAAGTGCAGTCTCACCCAGAACCAGCCCCCCACACGGTAGCTGTGCTTCTTGTGTTGAAAGGGGCCACAGCTGCCAGCTTGGGCCCAGCTTTACACTCTGGTGGCTTCTGAGGCAGCGAAGCTCCTTCTGGGGGACCCAGGGCAGCGGTTAGAAGGTCTCTGGGGAAACTTGAAGGATGCTGGAGGCCTTACCCCAGGGCCTGCAGTGAGACCCCAGGTTTCTGTGCTGGGACCACCCAGCTGGCCCAGCCAGCGTCTGGGGCGGGACAGAGGAAGGAGCGGCTCTGATCCCAGGCCTGTGTCTGCTCCGCATGGTCTCCGGGTAGTGCTTCTTCCTTCCCAATTGCCTTTATCTCCCTGTTCTGCAGCAGCAAGGGGGGAGCCGTTCTGTGGGAACAGGGGATGAAGGCGGGCCTTGCTTCATTTATGCTCCTTCGCCACCAGCCTGTTTGTGGGGTGGAGGGGGGAGCTGGGCCACCCACAGGCAGGGCAGGGGCCGCTTTTCTGTCCCTTGCAGTGAGGGCGGGAGGAAGGTGAGGAAGGGAAGGACACAGCCTCCCTCTGGGCAGAGGGCCGAGGGAGGCCCCCTCCCTGCTGGCGACTGCTGGAGGCAGGGCAGCGCTCTGCGTGGCAGTTAGAGAAAACTGGCTGAGGAGGCTGCCAAAACCAGGCCCCAAACCACAGAGGAGCAATCAGTCAAGGCAGGCCTGGGGCAGGCCTCCCGGGCTCCCCACTCCCTCCAGGCCCCCTGCTGCACACTGATAAGTGGCTCTTTTGACACGGAAAAAAAAAAATTGTAATTACAAGTCTAAGCTGCTGCTCTATGACAGGGTCTCCTGTGCGCGTAGGTCTGTCTCCGCTCTGGGAGGCCGAGGCAGGAAAGCGAAGGAAGCCCGGACTCGTGGTCACACGCAGCGCCTCGGTGGGGACCTGGCCTGTCTCCCTCTGTGCAAGAAGAAGCGGCCGTTCCCCCGGTGGGCTGCTCCCAGCCCCTCTCTCCC